AGAAATGTGAAACATTCACCAGTAAAGGCTGCGGGCTCTGAGTGGAGCTGGTCCAAGAGAGACATCAATGTGTTGTAGGCGGCAGAGCTGGAAGGCAGTACTACCAAGCTTGTTAGAGCTCGGATGATGTCATGATGCTACCCACATGCTGCACTTAGAGCAGAACAGTCTGGTGTGTGCTCTGCTGGGTTTCAGTCTTGCTTTGGTCTGATTTGTCCCTGTTATGTTTCCATTCTTCTCTTTTAGAAAAGGAATACTTACTCCATTGTATGTTAGAAATATATAGCATAAAAAATACTTATTTTAACTGTGTGGTGGTGGCATACACCTGTAATCCCAGCACTCAGGAGGCAGAGGTGGGTGATCTCTGTGCGTTTGAGTTCCAGGATAGTCAGGGCTACACAAAGAAACCCTTTCTTGAAAAAACAAAAATGAACCAAACAAAATAGGGTCTCCTAGTTAAGAGAGTGACATAGACTCAGAGAGGTTTTAACAGTGGTGAAGCTGTTAGACTAGGGAGTGTCTGAAATTGAATTTAGTGTGTTTTACATAGTAAGATGGCCATGGGCCGAAGCAGAATGCTACGGTTTAGATGTAACACATTCCCTAAAGGGCCACGTATTTGAACACTCAGTCCCTGGCTGACGCTACCTTGAGAGGTTGAACAGCTTTTAAGAAGTGGGAATCAGTGGAGGAAGCAGCTCCCTGGGTCAAGCCTGAGATTTATAGCCTTGTATCACGTCCTGTATTTATAGCCTTGTATCACGTCCTGTCTTGTTTCTGCTTTACAATTTGCAGAAAAAAATGAACCACCCGGTGCAGCCAAACTCCCCTCACCTTGGGAGACACAGGCTTCGGTGTGTCTCTATGTATATATAGCCCTCTCCAACTATGAGCCTGAATTAACCCTTCGCCCTCAAGTCTCTTCTTTTGGGTGTTTCTTGAAACAGTGAGCAAAATAACTAGGGCAGTCAGTTACTCTCTAAGCCTGAGGTTCTGCACCTTTAGAATGGAGGTGATACATCCATCCTTTCACAAAGCTGTGAAAATCAGCTGAGAATAGTACATAGAAAGGCTACCCTGCTCTACAGTATAACCTCAGGAACAGCTAACATATGGAATGATCTGCCTTCAATTTGTTTTTTTACAAAGAAGGAGGAGGAGGAGGAAGAAGGAGGAAGAAAAAAAAGTGGAAGAGGAGGAGGAAGAAGAAAATAAAATTAAATTAAAAAGAAAAGGTATATCTGAAGATGAATATGTGTCCTGGATTATTCAATCTTCATTTGTTTAAACCTCTTGGAACTAGATCAGATCATCTCCCAAGCCCCTGCCTATGGCCCACATGTAGAATTCTTTGACTATCTCCCAGTGTCAGGGAAATGAAAACCACCTTCAGGAGTGGCCTCTCTAGGCCCGCTCTGAAAGCCAAAACCAGTTTGGAGAGTTCTGCTGTCTTGATGGACACCTTTCTGCTGCAGCTGCAGTTTCATTCTGGCTGCAGTTAATGACAGTAAGAAAGCCAACATGAAAGGATGACAGACAGGTCTTCAAGCAAAGGACACAGCCAAGCAGCTATGAGATTAAACACCAGCCTCCCCACCCAGAGAGCCTACAAGGAAAACACATATGCAACTCGGTGACAACAATCAAAGGGCTGGAAACGGTCTTAGTTGTCACAGGCCTACCTGTAAAGAAATTATAAAGCAACTTCAGGCCATCTGCTCCACCCCAGGAGGCAGCCTGTCTGACTACCATGGAGTGAAAGGTGTTCGATGGCCAACAGAGAAAGGTCAAAAGGGGATATCTAGTGGGATGCTACCTGCAGCCATAACTGCAGTGGAGGATTCTGGGGACCCGCATTTCTAACCAAAGTCTCATTTCCAGGGTGACAAATGGGATTACTATTCTTTTTGAAGACAGCAAAGATAACTTCAAGTGTTTTGAAGAAAATCTATCTGAATGGAAACTTGAGAAAGTTTCTGACGATGGCATCCCTTTAGGGCCTGTGTACTTCTTTACCATGGGTACTGGTACCTTCCTATAAGTTTTCCCTGGCCAGATAGGGCTTGACTTTCAAATTCCAGATAAGGCTTTGTTTCAGGTGGCTTAAACAGCAGTTAATTCTCAGCTCTGGAGGCCAAGGATTCAAGGCCAGGGTTCCTTCTTCTTTGCCCTCAGGGAGCATGTGTCACAGCAGTTATCAGGGTAGCAGGGTTCCTGGAGGAGCATCTGTCTGCCATGAAGTATAACCAAGGGGGATTTCTAGGCTCGGAAAACCAAACCACTCAAGGAAGACCTCAAATGACGTGGAAACCTCTCTTTTTTCATAAACCCTTTACCTCCATAATGTAACATCCCACTCCATAAACAGTACTGGGGCTTGATTTTGTTCTTTTCGAAGGTTCACATGTTCTTTGGCTTAATGGAGTGCTCCATCCCAGAAAACGAGAAAAGCAAATTTTAGAAGTTTTCATTCCTGGGGCCAGTGATATGGCTCAGTGGGTGAACTTGTCATGTAAGCTGTACTACCTGAATTCAATCCCTGAAGCCACACAAAGGTGGAAGGAGAGAACAGATGTCACAGGGCTTTTGTTCATCCTGGGCAAGAGGGAAGCCACTGCCACATCTGAGCCTAATTTGAAGCAAGCTTGCTTTTTATTGGGATGCACCCAAGAGCTGGCCAGAGCCTGTCTCCTAAGTCAGGCTAAAGAGAGCAGTCCTGAGTCCAGTCTTTAGAGCTCTTTTACAGTGTAAAATCAGACATAGTTGCAAAGCAGGTTTGCAGAAGACAATGAAGCAATTAGAAAATACAGAAAAATCTCAAAACAATAACAAACCCCCTATCTATTTCCATGTGGTCATCAAGTAATTAGAGAGTGTTTAGGGAGGGCTTGGGCGGTCCCCAAAACAAAGTCACAGATTGGAGCAGGTCAGGTTTCAGGAAACAAACAGAAATTTTATTTTTAACAATACAGTATAATGGTTTCTGCTTTCAAAAAGGAGTCAGGTAAGTTCTATGTGTGTGCACTGAGGCACTTGTGGCCACATGTGCTCAGTCGTACGCGCACAGACACACACACACACACACACACACACACACACGAGTGATTTAAAAACACAATTTAACAAAGGAGAAAGTTCTTATTCCAATTGATGCTCCTCCTATAGGCTATCAGGATAGTCCCAGAAAAAGTGCTCCCCCACTCAAGACTACATGATTGAGACAAGTTGTTTCTCTTATTTTTCTAAAAATCCAAATCTCCCCAAATCATTGTCTCAAACAAAGTAACAGGAAGGTTTGCAGTGGCATGGTGGATCGCTTTCTCAACCCAACAGGAAGGTACCATGAGTACTGTCTCCTTAGGCAGGCTTCACTGAAGCTCCATTTGAAACAATGGCCAGCCTTACAGATCAAAATGGAGGAGTCTGGGGGGATTTAACGAAAAAAAATGAGGGGGGGCAGCCTCCTACTTCTTAAAATAAAAATAAAAAGGGGATTGATTTGTTTTTTATAGAGTTACTTCACGTGGAACTAGCTATGCTGACCTCTCTGGCCTTGCATTTAGCAAGACCCCCCCCTGCTTTATCTCCCAAGTGCTGGACTAAAGGTGTGTGCCACCATGTCCAGCTCAAAAGCAAGGTCCCACCGGGATACACTCTTAAATTTTAAGCAAAATATATGTGTAACATCCAGCCCAAAAATATTTGAGAATTAAATAAGACAGAATTGAAAGATTAACAAAATCCTAGTAAGGAAAAAATAGCCACCGAATAACGGGGCAGGTGGTAAGGGGCTGCCGGAGGTAGTCCCTGGAGCGTGCTCGCCAAGGGTAGTCCTCAACTCCATCCCTCTCAGCTCAAGCTACCTCTAAAGAAAGGGTAATTCATGAGGTTAGAAGGAGCATAGGGATGGGTAGAGACCAGTGGGAGGGAACTTGCCTAGCATGCATTAAGCCTGAGGTTCAATTCCCAGCACCACAGAACTGGGGGGGGGGGGGGGTGTTGAGTCAGGAGCTTTAGAAATCAGTTTACCCTCAGATGTCAACAAGCACCTAGTGATTTCTATAACTATATTCATAACTGTTTTGGTGAGGTAGAAGGAATGGTCATAGCTAAATATTCAATACACTAAAAAGCTTTCAAAGACAAAATGGCTTGGATGTGTAAGGAGTTCAACCCAACCCTATCGGCCACGGCTCTCTCCACTCAGCTCAAATGCCAAAAGGCACTAAGTCATTTGTCACGTCAGTGTCAAACACCAGCAGGCACTAAGCATATTTGCTTTTTTTTTTTCCAACCGAAGGTTAGACGGGATGAGAACTGTACAGAGGGACATATGAGAGAAAAGGGCAAGAGAAACAAATAGTGAGCAGAAACTGGGAAAGAAGATGGCCGTTAAGATCTCCTCCAAAAACGATCATTAACAACGCGATACTTTATTACCTGCTAAACTTTCCAATCGATCTCTTACCGACAAAGCAGTATGTGTCAAGCATTGTCCTTTTTAGCACGGCGATGTTCAGGTCCAGCAGATGCTCCACAAATGTCTTGCTTATAGAGTGTCCGCTCAGCCACCTTCACCTTCAGTGAGGTGTTGATGAGACTTCCAGTGCACTTCCCAAAGGGAAGGAATGACTGAGAATGCTCCTCTCACATGAAGGACTGTCGTGTGTGCATGTGAGTTTGTTTTTCTTCTCTGGCTAAGGTTTCCTACAGCCCTTTGGGTTTTTAAAATCACCGTATAGATTTGAGATGGTCTTCTGCGCTTCAGAAGTACAAGAAATGAGTTTGCTTAAGCATTTTTTAAGTTTCAAGCTCGGAATCAATAAAGGTGGACGAGGAAAACCCCAAACCCTCTAAACATTAAATTACCTTTCTTTCCTAGATCCAGAAGCATCTAATTGTTTTTTTGTTTTGTTTTGTTTTTTTGGTGTGTTTGTTTTGTTTTAAGATTTGGGCCCAAAGAAGCAACCACGAAAGCCTGGTGGGCGAGGGCGCTGCTAGCCACGCTCCTCAGGCTCGCTGCAGGGCGAGGCCCCGGAGGACGCTTTGGACTCGCCGTCGCTGTTGCAGTCCGGCCAGTGGCGCTCCAGCAGCTCCTGCAGTTGCTTGATGTAGCTGATGGCGGCGCGCAGCGTCTCCACCTTGCTGAGCCGCTGGCCAGCCAGCTCCCGCGGCAGGTGCTGGCGGAGGCGCGCGTAGCCCTCGTTCACACAGCGCACGCGCTGCCGCTCGCGCTCGTTGCGTTGGCGCAGAAAGGCGGGCTCGGCGACGCCCCCCTGCGGCAAGGACCGGCACGGCCGTCTCCGCGCGCAGTCTGTGGCATCCTGGCGCGCGGAGACCCTGCAGGGCTCCCTCCAGGGCAGCGCGCCCAGCGGCGCCGTTCGTAGCGGGGACGGCAGGGCAAGCAGTCCGGCCGATTTGCGTTTTTCCATTCTCTGCCGAAAAGCACGCAGATGACTCACCTTGAAGACCAGACTGGAAGCTGTCGTAGCCGAGATGCTGGTCCATCCAGACTTCCCGGAGTGTCTTTGGAGAAGTTTCTAGGTCCAGAAGCTAGGTACCTGAGCACACTTGGAGGGAACTTTGCATGATTTCCGAAGCTGATTGCTCTCCTCCGGTCTTTATAAAGCTTCAGAGCAGAAGGGGCAAAGATAGAGGACGCGCTTCATCCACGCTTGTATCCATGTGGCCCCTCTGATCTTAATTCAAGAGTTAACAAAGAGTCCCCAGCCTGAATAGACGATCGCACTCTAAACAGATTAATCTTTCAAAGCTGCCCAGTTGCTGTAATTTACTCCTGGGTCAGCGAGTGTGGCTATCGGAAGCCCGAACTTGTTCAGGAATTGAGCAGAGACCCTCCCAAAGCACTGGCCGACCGGCTGGCCAGCAGAGCGAAAGTTTACTCCGGCGTTCTCCTTGAAAATCCAAACTTGACTGCCCTTTGTGGTTTCCGGCGTTCAGGTCTGATGGAAAGAGCTTTCAGAGTGTTTGCAAACATACCCCTGCTCTTTCATTTCTGGGGAGGTGGAGAAGAAGCGCTCATCAAAGGGAAGACTGCTCTCTTGTGGTTAGACGATGTGTCAAGGCCTCCTTGGACCTCCCGGGAAGCCCGAGGTTTTCTTCTGCGAAATAGAATCTTTTAAAAACCAAATTAGACACTTTTCAAAGGTACCAAGAACAAAATGTATTTTTTTAAGTATCATATTTAAGGGTCCTTACATTATGCTCTAACATATGTTTAACACGGGGCTCTATGCTTCTGCTCTGTAAAAACACATCAAAAGCCCGAACAGTAACCAACGCTTTTAGCCAGTTATTTCTCGGAGTGCTTACTGTAAACACACCTTTTTAGTCCTGCCTCCCAACCTCTTCTAATCCCACTCAGGATACTGTGATATCTTCTCATAGCACAAAGTATTTTCCTATTGTATTCATCGTTAAGTTTATTTCCTCCCTCGAGGACTGGAAAACAACATTTGAAAAGAAGAGAGCCCCATCCCAAGGAGAAAGGATTTGGCTTTGAAGGCTTGTCTTTTTAACACTCACCCCCATCCCCCCTCCACAAATGAATAATTAATCCACCTGTGCTGGTAAAGGGCTTTGAAGATGAAAGTGTCATTAAAAATCCAACTCTACTGGTTAATGTCAGAGAGTGTTATCACATGGAAAAATCAGATTTCCTGTACTGCAAACCAACACATTAAAGGCATCTTCTACTTGAAAAGTCCAACTTAAAAACGAGATGCAAAACCCCCTAAATTTACAACCAGACTTGGCTCTTTTCTGGAAGCTTGAGTGTCGCCCTAACATGTTTTTTTTTTTTTTTTTTTTTTAAAGGGAGTTCTCTGCTTCTATGTTTACTAAAGTTTAGAGTCTAACTGATCAGCCTGAAGCAACTGGAAAAACATTTGCATCAAGGTAAATGAAATAGAAATAATTATTCCTTTTTGACCTCAGTTGGTCCCATTTTAGATGTAGCTCCCTATGGGCTTATACTAGCAAACAACTCAACGTGGCATCATGAATTCTTACGTCATCACTTTTGCATGAATTGAGAAAGCCTTCTTATTCACCAATAAGCCTCCTGCAGGGCATGTAGGCTCCCAGATCTCGGGTTCGTGTATAGGGCTGGGTCAAAGATTTCGAACTTCCTGCTAAGAATGACAAGAGAAAATGAGATCATTGAAAACAGGAACATAACATAGATCTGTTTTTATTTCTCAGGCTGACAACAAATAAAAAAGATTGCAATCCAGGTGTGGTGGTACACACCCTTTTATTCCAGCCCTGGGGAGACAGAGGCAAGCCAGCATGGTTTACATAACAAGTTCCAAGCCAGTCAGGGCTGTTTTTTTTTTAATTATTATTAAAATAAAATAAATAAATAAAATAAAAACAGGTAAAGATTGACTGACAACTGCCCATTTTGAGGACTCAAGTGTTTGTGAAAGGAATGATTATAATTCACAGTATATTTGTTGTCCCACAGCCTGTGACCCAGTTTGACAGTTTTGTCCTACAGAAAGCAATACATCGCTACAGGGTTATATGTAACTACAGATCAAACACTGAACACAGCATTGGTAGTAAGTTCAAAAGGGGACCAGGGCTGTGTCTGGGGCTGCCTGTAACCCCAGCTACGGTGGGAGGTTTGGCAGGATGATTGCAAGTTCAAGGCCTATATAATGCTACCTGTAGATGTGTTTTTGGGGCTGACCATGTGGCATTGGATAACCAATTGGTGTGCTCTTCCTTGGGGAAGATTATTTCTCCTGCTATCAGCATCCTTAGTAGCCTGTAGTTCCCTGGGTAGGGTTGAGGCTTCTCGGGTTTTCCCCTGCCTGCATTAGCGTGTCTCTTGCCATTTGTCCTTGTTCTGTTCATGTTTAGACAGTTGTGTTAGTGAGTCTGATTTACGTGTTGAGGAATATATATGTTTATTATATGTGTGTGTGTGTGTGTGTGTTTCAACAGTTAATGAAAATAGAAGAGGCCATTAATTTGAAAGAGAGCGAGGAGGTGCATACGGGAGGGATTGGAGGGAGGAAAGGGAAGGGAGAAATGTGTGACTAAGTTATAATCTCAAGAAAAATATAAAAGAAATAACTACAATTTTAAAAATAAAATAAATCTTAAAAAGAAAAGAAAGCTCAAGGCCTGCCTGGGCTGCAGAGTGAGGCAGAGCCGGTCAGGGCAGCCTGTGAGACTGTCTCACAGCACAGTAAAAAGAGGATGGTGGATGGTGGTGATGCACACCTTTGATCTCAGCACTCAGTAGGCAGAGGCAGGTGGATATCTGTGAGTTCGAGGCCAGCCTGGTCTATAGTGAGTTCCAGGACAGCCAAGGCTACACAGAAAAACCTTATATTGAAAAACAAACAAACAAAAAATAAGGGCTAGAGCTATCCTTAGGTTCTGCTCCAAGGGAGTTGGATGAAGAGGATATAGGACACAGTCTGATTACTTCTCCATAAGGAAAAGAGTAAAACAGATTTCATGTTATTATTAAAAGTAGCGTAAGTATTTTTACATATGCTATGTGTAAGTACTTACAGAAATATGAAAAAAATGTTAACCAAAAAGAAAAAAATTTCAGACCAGTGTTTGCAATAGAAACATGAAACCATTTTATATGATTATTTATTTTTGTTTCTGCTTTTGAAACAGGATCTTACTGTGTAGCCCAGGCTGGCCTCAAATTCAAGCTCCTCCTGGCTCAGCCTCTTGAGTGCTGCAATAACACTGTGACAGGTGACATCCATGCCTTTATGTGTTTGTGCAGCCCTAGATAGTGACGTGGAAAGGTGTATATTGTAATTTTGTTGTTGATTGCCTAGAGAGCACGTCATGGGGCCTAGAAGCATGATCATTGTCCTTCATAGATCTCACTACTGTTCACTAATTACAAATAGCACGTGCTTTATATTTTCAAACTAATGAGTTTTAAATTAAAGAAGAAATGATGTACATAGCACAAAAATGATACACTGCCCCAAGCCAGACCTACAGATTTATTATTAGTATTCAAGGCCATTGGACCAGGTTTCCTTATAACTTCTTTCCCTGGGGAATGTGGTATAGTTGTCTCCTACACACTTGTCATGAGCAGCGCCGTCATGAAGCAGAGAGGCTGAAGTGACCCCAGGACACCTTGGCTACCTTAATGGCAAGGAAACATGAAGAGCACACATCACTTAGCACGGTCTTTGGTGATGGGACAAACATTCCTTCTTAAAGAGGGAAGGGATCATAAGAAACTCCTTTTAGATTCCATCAGAGCTGTAAAAACATAGGTAGACATGAACACACATACCTGTAATTACAACATTTGGAAGGAAGATACAGGAGGATCAGGAGTTCAAAGCCAACCTTGGCTTTTGAGTGAGTTTAAGGCTAGTCTCAGCTGCATTGGATCCTGTCCCAAAGAAAAGAGGGTTTAAAAATGTGCCTCAGAGTAGTGGTAAGACTTTTCTATTGTCCAGTTGCTCACAAAAGTTGCCCATGCTCCTATAAGCAACGACAATAAACTTACTTATAAGTTGAGGTTCATGGAATCTTTCCTAGGTCTGTCTGCTCCTTCCCTATTTGAGGTGAACACATATTTCTTTTTTGTTTCGACAGGAAGGTTATGAAGCAGGGAGGAATATGTACAGGATTTATAAAACTATAGCAAAGCCAGCCACATGCTAACTATACCAACTGTTTTGATCTAAAGTTTCTCTTCAACCTAAGATGTCTCAAATCAGACTTGTTTGATAGAGATTCAAATTTGCTGCAGCACCAAGATCACTGGGAACTGGGTTTGTGCCGTCTCACTTGGGTCCGTTCATCAAAGGGGAAGGGAATTCACTAATAAAGGTCAAACTCATTAGATTTCAAGGTATCTCTGGGGAAGAGGAAAATTTCCACCCTGACAGCTCTCGTATCACCTGCTTAAAAGAAGAGGATTTAGGTTGGCTCTCCTTGCAAAGTATTTCATTACAGATTTTGGTTTTCTGGGGCTGTGACATAGAGGTATACATGTGCTTCTGGCCCTGAGCCGCCTGGTATTTGCATCATCCATCACAAGGGATAACAAAGATCCATATTTCAGGATCTCATGCTAGAATTCTAGTGGGTCTAATTCAGTCACAAATTGATTATCTAACATGGTTGTATTCAATCATCCCTTCTCAATATAACTTGAGCATTTGTCTCACAATGTGCTGCATCTACCAAGCACAGCTGTGGCTGTTTGAATAGGTATGGTCCCCAAAGACTCATGTGTCTGAATGCTTGGCCCATTGGAAGTAGCTATATTAGGAGGTTGGCTGCCTTGGAGGAAGTGTGTCGCCAAGGGGGTAGGCTTTGAGGTCTCAAATGCTCAAGCTCCACCCAGCATGGCACATAGTCCGCTGCTGCCTGCAGATCAAAATGTAGAACTTTTAGCTCC